AGCAAGTGTGCAAAGCACTCACTGGCCATGTAAGCACCCCAGTGAGACAGAGGCTTCTCTGATCTCTAAGCAACTATGTTTTAAAACATTATTAAATGTTTTCCTGAAGCTGAAGTGCATACATGTATTCTGGTTCTGTGTTCATGACCACTGCTCCTATTCGTATTGAAACCATTCTCTGCAATGAAACACTGTATTCAAATATTATGTTTTTACAAAACGATAGGCTTCCTTCTTCCTTGTTTATTAAAAAGACATTTAATATGAGCCAATGTTGGACAGTTACTTTAAAAGAGAGAGGAAGAAGCAAGCGCCTTTGTAATTCTTAAATAAAAAGGATAGGTATTATGTGTGTCTTGTGTCTCTGATCCAACAAACCGAGCTAACGATCTCTGCTATTCCTGATTTCTTTTATGAGAGGTCGTTAAGGAAATGTAATCAAACAAAACCAGCTCCTTTAATGATCACTATAGGTAACTTCAGAATAGACAGGCTCAAGTCTTCACTTAGTGTTTAATCTGCAGTGTGCTTATTTGCGTAACTTCACAGGTTGATGCACTTGCCACTACATGTGCATGTGTACAGAGCCTAGCTGATGATCGCACCAGGGACACTAAGTTTTCATTCTACCTGAGTACACACAGTCTGAGCAGGGCAGCAGTCCCCTTGGATCTTTCCATGGTGGCCACAGCTACTCTGGGGCTGCGTAGAGACCATGTCCTCCTCTTGGTCTCAGCCAGGAGGGCTGGGCTTCATGCTTGTTTGCCTACTGTGGTCATAGCACGTGGCACACCAGTGAGGAACCGAGCCAGGCCACTGGTCCTGTGCTTGCCGCTGGTCCTGTGCTCTCATGGGGCAGCAACCAATGATCTGCTGCATGTAACTGCTCCTACAGGACCAAAAACTGGGCAGGGCTGTGCCTGGGCAGCAGATATTGTCGCATGTATCAGTAGCTCTTAATATTCTATGAAGTTCAAACACACACAGAGAAAAATAAGGAAAAGATAAGGTAAGTAGCCAAAATTAAGCATATGTATCATAACTATAACACATGATGACAGCTAGTGAGAATAAACCAGAGCCTTCAGTGGTACATGGTAAGTGTCATCATACATACCTCTACTCATCCCAACATGTTCTAACAGAGCGAAACTTCGAACCCATCTGTAAGCTTTCTTTATTCTTCTTTCCACTCTCTTAAAAATGTTAGTAGATGTGGTATCCTTCCAAGCAATATATAAAACATGTAAATTCCAATTTAACTTCTGTAACTACAAGCCCAAAATGCAGCTAGTTTCCAAAACGTACTGTGTCGATATGGATCCCATCACTTTGGTAGAGACATGTCATAGCTACACCTTTCACAAAGGAATTCCGTAACGAAACGAGTTTTTACATGCTGGGACTAAATATTTTTAAACAGCGCTCTCTGCCAACTTCAAGTTTCAGCTATATTTGTGCAACTGAAAAAAGAATCACACACATGTTTCTATACAAGATTAAGCTGCATTTCTGGTTAACCTCAGAATTATTTCATTTTTATATAAACATTTAATGAGAAAGTTTAACTTCTTCCCTTCAGTGAGAAAAAGGAAGCCAAGCCACTAGAAAAACAGTCTTTCTGTATGTACACATACATATGTGTGTGTGTTCATTTTAATTAAAAGTAATTAACAGAATACTGTGTTCTCACTCAGAGTATGCTGTTACTACAGAGGACCTGCACAGTAAGCCAATGCTATTTTGCTGAATGCCGCTAGCAAGGTGGATTGAATTATGCAACTAAAAATTTAAAAGACTTGGAGAAGATCGTTAGCTGCAGCCATCATAAGTTTCTCTCTAGAAAAGCAAAACAAAAGAAAAACAACAGAACAGATTTGTCAGCTTCTACCTGAGGAAACCTATCAGTGTATGGGCATTAATCAGCTCTTTTGTTTGCTCAGCTTCTTTCAGATGATGAGGCTGAGCAACACATTCAGCATATTCCAACTTTCTTGCATTGAAAAATAATGCTTTTGCTTCTTAAGCCAGTGCTTCCTTTCTTAAGTTTAACCTAGGAGAGCAGCAGAGGTCTTAGACTCCTATCAAAACAAAGCAAATAAATTCAATTCAGCAAAAGGAATTGGGAGACGTGTCCTCCCTTCCCTAAAAATATTTATTCTTTTGTCAGTAGAACTCAGCCAGTCTAGAACTGTCTTTCAACTTGTTTCAGCTCCAGTAGCATTTCTGTTACATTATGTCACCAGTAAAAATGGCTGAATCCACTCAACAAAAAGCCAAAAAAAAAAATTCTTTTTCATGGTTTTTGAAATCCTGTTTTCATCCTGTTTTTAGACCTTCCACTGTGGCAAATACTATTTCTGATTTGGATCTGGTATACCAAGTTAACAGCAAATATATTTATAGTACCTATGCACTATACCATAATACAGTACAGTAAAATGCAAACAAACTCGGCTAAAAATACTGGCCACAGAATCTAGGAAATCTTTTGTAGTCCTTCTGTTTCTATCTGTTGGATAGAAAGCATACAAATCATAGGATAATGAGAATAAAAGGGATGTTATACCTTCTGTTTTTTTCTGTATGGCTATTTACACACACATATATATTCTGAATTGTGGCAGGGAGTGGGAAAATACATTTGTTGCGTAGGGCTTTTAGACTGAAAGATGAATTATGTCCTTAATGGGAGCTCCCTTGCTTTTCATTTATTGGATCTCAGTTCCTGGAAGGTGCGAGGTGTCTCTGGTGGAGTATCTATTTCCTTGGCAGAGTGCTAGAGGAATTTCAGACTGTTTCTAAGTTTACCTCTTGGAGCTTCCCATGGTACCCAGCTGCTCATGTTTCCCAAGAAAATCAGAAGATTGCATGCCTGCATTCTAGGGAGGCAGAGCAGTCAGACCTAAGAAGCAATGCTGTTGCCAAAGGTAGATCCCTCTGTGCATGGTTATTATTCCTTAAGGAAGAAGTAGAAAGGCTGGTAAAGAACTTAAAAGTTAAGCTTTAGGTTCTTAAAGGCAAGTTTTGCTAGTGCAAAAAAAGCCTAAAAGGAATCAGCAAGAAAAAACAAGAAATGACATAAATACAAGGAAGAATAGTGGCATGCAAACAATTACTTCTAGTTAAGGATTTATTTAAGAGGCATACTGAAGTAGAAATAGAAAATAGAACAGAAGATCAAGAAAATAGCAGTAATACAGACGTGACAGTGAAAGCTGTGTTGCCATGACAGATGGTGAACCTAAACAAATGACACAGTGGCCACCTTCTCTCTTTGATCTGCTCCCTTGATGAGCCCATCCAAGGGCAAGGGCAGAAGCCTAACCCAGCTGTACTGAAGAAGGCAGCTGGGGCTGCTTTAGTACACTGAACCAGCTCACTCAAGCTGCAGGGCAGTGAGGAAGGATATTTGGAGTTATTCAGTCCTAAACCATTCAATACAATTCTGATGTCAATAACAGCATATCTGCTAACTACTTTCTGTTTCAGTAAAAGCTTCCAGCAGTATATTTCAGGTGTAGCCCTGTTGTGTCTGCTGAATCACTGAGTGCATACACTGAGGAATTCATAGCACTGTTCAGAGCAGTGTGTCTCTCCAAGTAGCAGACAGTCACTGGTGTGGGCATACCTAGCACACTGGGAACAAACCAAAGGATCACATGAGGCAAGAACCTATAGATGGAGCTGCCCCTTACCTTCAGGGAGATGCTGTGAGTGACCAGATCAACATAACATCTGCTGTTGCAATGTTAACGTCAAAGGATATCATTTGAGTGCCCTCTTGCAGCTGAAAAGATTGATTGTTATGTCTGAAAATCACTTAAGAATTCTGGGTAACTGCATCTGATTATTACTCCTATGATAACAGATCTTGCTTAGAAAATTTTTTCATTTCCTCTCCTTTGTATTCAGAAACTCCTCAGTTTGTGCCATGATATTAAAAAAATCTCCCTGGTCTCTGGGGTTTTCTCCCTCTCCTTTCTTGTCTAGGCAAAACAACATAATGCAAATTTCTACTGCGACAAAGACATAGAAAACGCATCTGCATTTCCCTCTAAGTTCAAAACTTACACTCAGCATTTTTTACATTCATTGAGACAATGTCAGGCACCTCCCAGCTTTCCTGGCAGTAAGAAAAAGGTTTTAAGGTTTTCCAGGACAGCATCTTACAGTATGACAGAGACCAATACAGCAGGGAATCATGCCCAAAGGAACTGGTATGGCTGCAGTGCAGCAGAGAATGCCACAAGAGTGAGATGACAAAGATCCACTATCACAGAACTAAGGACCACAGCTAAAAAACCTCTAAAGTCAGTAAGAAACATCAGTGACACCAGCAACAGGTCTGTTTTGTACTGCTGAGGGACCCTGAGCTGACAGGTGCCATGTTTGTGGGACAAAATGAAGCTACCAAAAGTTTTCCCACAGGAGCATGCCTCTTGCTCCTTCACTGATTTCACAGAATCACAGAATCACAGAATTGTAGGGGTTGGAAGGGACCTCCAGAGATCATCGAGTCCAACCCCCCTGCCAAAGAGTAAGGTCTGCCAGCCATAACATAATGGTTCCCCCACTTTCCATCACTGGAGAAAGGAGTTATCCCAGCTCTGTTTGTGCTAACTGCTACAGAGAGAAGGGAGGAAAGACAGATGAAGGTAACAGCTATCATGGAGTGCAATGGAAGAGACAGGCAGGACCCTTGGACAGGGAAAATTTTTGGCAGAGGGAACCGAGAAGAAAACGAGAAGAAAACCCAACACTGTGGGTTGTGAAGATCCTAGCTTTTCTTCAAATCCATAGCCTGAAGAGTAAGAACATAAAGCAGCCTTACCCCATATGTCATGTTTCGGTACAAGAACTATGCAAGTTTAGGCCTTCAAAATACCTAGCAGTCTGCTTTGGGAGAAGCTGGTAAATACACAGAGAAGAGCTCATCTATTCCTCCTACCTGCAGAGCTGTGAATGCAGTCATCCTCATACAGCCTGCAGCACACATGGTGGCCTTCTCATGACTTGCCATACATATTTTACTTCACTGAATTGGGCAGCCAAGTTACACAATTCCACAGTCAAGCATCACTGCACAATCAGCACTGCCTCTTGTCAAGAGATGAGTTCGTAAGATTCACCCAGGAACTGTCTACATGCTGGAGAAAGGGGAAACTTTCCAGTGAATTACATCTACTCATTTTATGTTAGATGCACAGACACCAGGGTTGCAACAGTGCGTGTTTCAGTGCCTATACAAACACAGCAAAAGAGTGAGGACAGCATGTATGGGGTGCTAGCACAGAAGCACTGGTTTACATACTGAACTGAAATGCTATACTCTCTCTGTTTTTTAATGGGCCTGTAATCTCAAGATTCTTAGCACTTCCTACTTGAAATCACATTCAACATATTTCATGATATCTGGAGGACTTTGTCACGTCAATGATCTGCTGTGTCTGGTATGAGAGCATCCAAAATGCATGAGATGTCATGAGGAAGCTGGATTTCATTGCTTCCTCTTCATGGTGTGATGCCACGCAACCTGTCTGGTGCACATACCGCAGCCTCAGACCTCTTCTGATATTTCACTCAGGTGTGGGTCATTCAAAACCCCATGGAAGAAATATTTCAACATTCAGACTTTTTTTTAAGAGGAAGACCTTCCACACCTCAGTGGACATTGCATTCAAAGCGCACTGCCAAATATTATGTGATGTCCTTTCCAGAGTTAATTTTTAATTTCCTGACTTCTCTGCATGAGAAATTTTCAGATTGTCTTGGCAGTCACTTGACAGCATGTGCAGACCTAATTGCAGAAGTGAATGCAGTGTCAGCCCAAATGCAAACCTCCAGACTGAGTGATTTCTGCAGAATTAGTTAGTTTGCTAAATAAAGTTCCAGAAAACACTGCAGTCCAAGAAATGATCACAAATGTAAGGTAAAGGGCACAATCCTTACAAACCTTGCCCCAATCTGCCATGCACTAAGGGGACACAGGTGTCCTAAACACATCACTCAAAAACCCGATGATTTTCCATTTCATTTTTTAATGCTGCGGTTCCAAACCCACAGATGTTGTGCATGGCTATAAATCTTGGCACCCTCTCCATTATGGAAGAATTTCCCCTGGTATTCAGCGTTCCTTGTTTCACCTTAAGTCACCCTAATCATGCTGACATCTACTATCGATGATTATATTAGCCCTAAAAGATCCTTAAACAAATGAAAAGGACTGACTTCCACTCCTAAAGTTCTGCTTCCAATTTTCTAAAGGAAATTAAATAATGTATAAATCAAATGCTGGGCGCAAGCCCAGGCAGCTGAACATCGCTTTGTCCTTTCAAAGTGAAGAGGAAGTGTCTGCTACAGAAGGGACAAGCCAAGAGAAATAAAGTTTAACCTCAGCTCCATGTGAAAGTGATTTGGGATAATCGAGGGAATCTGCAAAGAGGTTAAAACTGGGACCACATAGTAACAGCGGAACGTTACACAATGATCAAAAATCTATCAGGGGCTGACCTTCACCGGGGGGAACTGTGTGGCCCTCACAGCTCATTATGCTGGAGTGGAGCGTGAAGGGCAGGAGGAAGAGCAGACGAGCAGGAAGGGGAAATCTATTTATAGCGTGTGCTTGTCATGTCAGGGTAATCTTACCATTTTTCTCAGGTTTGCTATATTCATAAATAAGTTCTGCCTGACAACTTTACAGCAAGGCGGCTATGCAGGAAACATTCACATTGCTTTCCAGTTCTTCTTTAGCTAATACACAGCGCTCAGACTGTTGAGGCCGCCACCAAGAGACTTCTTAATTTATGCACTATTGATGGACTACTGATGCTTCTCTATAAGATGGTATATATCTATAAGGGGAAAAAACACTAAAATTGTGCTATACATTTTCCTGGTATAATCTGCTAAGCAAGAGATGGCTGTAATTGCCACAAGGCATTTCATAAAACTATTGGAACATACGCAGTTTGTAATATGATTTCCATACTAAAAGAAGATTCTGATCAAGTTTACACGGTTTCAAGAAGACTTTGCACTGACATTTTTGCACACAGAAGATCAGCACTGGACTTCACAATTAGGGTCAACATAACCCTGTTCACATAACCCAGACTTTGATGGAGAGACAAAGACGTGACGTCCAGCTATTAACACTTCAACTATGTACATTTTTGCCCGTTTAGAAAATCTTCCTCTCCTCAATTTTAAAGGCTATAGAATATTTTAGATGCCATGCAAATGGCCCTTAAAAACAGTCTAATCCCTTCACTTCCTTCAGAAAGCAACAAAATTATTTTCAGCACTGTCACTTAGTTGTTTTGTCTGTCAAAACACTAACTGAGCAGCTGGCCAAGCATGGATAGCCACATAACAGCTACATGCACACAGCAAATTAACAAACATCCTGCTTAGCTGTTGCAAACAAGTCAGGAAATGCTTCACAGCTAAAAAAATAAACAGAATAAAAACAAATACCCCTCCCCAGAATATCTTCTTTTAGTTTTCCCTTTTAAAAAGTCGAGTTCATAGACATACTCCTACAGCATAGAATTATTTTATATTTAAAAAGCATAATGACTGTCACTTAAATCTCGGGATGCAAACTCATCTGAACATTAGCACAACTGATTCAGAAGAACTAACAGATTTACTGAGCCCGTAGACTTGTAATTTATCAACAATTATCCATACACTTTAGATACCTATAAAAGATTAGATCAGACTTCAGGAACACTTTATTAGCATAAAGAGGCAATTCCATCAACTGCTATGAGCACAGAGCTTCACCTATCCATCTATCCATCTTCCACACTACCTCTCTCTCAACAGAGCCTGTGCTAATGAAGTGTCAGCCTGTGCCAAGGCTGTTTAAAAGAGCAAAGCAAGCAAAGGAAGTAGGGTTTTAGTGGGACCACAAGGCTTTACACAAACACTGCTAGAATAAACGCCTCCGTAAAGACCTCCAAGTTTCTCATCACTTTGTCTCGGCAGGTTACCAAATCTTGAGAAGGAAAAAGAAAACAACAAAAAATAAAACCTTAAAGGAGGATGGAAAATGGTAGGAAGTTTTCACAGAATGTGGTTGTTTGCCATCCTTGAATTTAAACAAAACCAGGTGCACAATATGTTACTCACACATGAGAAGAGGAGAGCCAGCAAAGGAAGGAGATCTCTCTCTCTCTCTCTCTCTCTCTCTCTCTCTCTCTCTCTCTCCCTCTCTCTCTTTCCTCACTCCTTTCAAGAAAGCATCCCTGAAAGCACACAAGCATATGCTTCGGGCTCCACTGACGTCAGTAAACACCACTGAAGTAAAGCTTATGCTTACACACATTCCAAAACACATCTGCTGTGTATAATTGGAAGCTGAATGGAAGCTATAAATCAGAAACAGAATGTATTCAATCAACAAACAAGACATCTTTTGTCTTTAAGGTGATGGTACTCATTCCAAAATTTTGCACTCATTAGAATCCACTGTTAAAATGAGAGACAATTTCTAACACTGAATTCAATCAATTAATTTACAAATGCTAAAACATTTGCACTAATAACAGAAAGACATCACAATTAGCACCAATGTGTCACATTTCTTTGGTTCTTTGTAACTAAACCCCAGCATTAACATTAAATAGTTAAAATAGTTACAGATAGGTTACTGCATGCAAAGCACCTGACGGCAGTAATTGCATCCTGGGTTTTCCATATCTCTGATGTATTATGTATTTAACATAAAGATCTTCTACAAACTACTGTAATTCATTTTACTGAATTCTCTGTTCACAAGGTGCAAAACCATTTGCATTTCACATCTACACATGCTAAATATCTGACACAGGAAGCCTGGGGCTTGCTGAGAGCCGCAATGCACACAGGGCACAGGCAATGGTACCTAGCCCACCATGCGTTATTCTCTACATTAATGCAAAAAGGGCTTACACCTACTTCTTTAATCAGAAAAGTCTCCAGTAAAAGGAAAAGAGGAAGAAACACGAAGGTCTGGTACAAGGCTACCCATTCCTACTGATGTCAACTGGATAATCTGCTCCAGTTCATTAGATCCCATATGGTAACGTCTGTGCTGCGATAATCGTCTTCATACAGGTAGTTACTTTTCTTTAAAAACCTATCATCTGTCTACTGGCAATAACAAGGTTCACCATGGCCTGCAGTGACTTTGAGGTTATTACTATCTGTACAGTCATTCATTATTTAAGCACAGGACATTGCCTCTCATGTCTCGTAACACAGAGCAAAGACAACCTGACCTGAAGCTGAACGAGTGTTAATGCATACTTGAAACAGGCACAAAGCATTACAGTTCTCACTAGAAATACAGTTTGGTGCAAGCATGAAGGCACGCAGCCTGTAACACAGTTAGTTGCACGTGCTTTTATTTGAAAATAGAGATCTCCCAGAAATAGAGAACAAGCTTTGCTATGAGCTGTATCAGTTCCAATACGGGCAGTGGGCTGATGGTGGTTTCTATGGTGCTTGGTGTGGCCAGGGCTAGCCTTGCCTAAGCAAAAACCAGTCCTGAAATAACATACTGACTATAGAACTACTTTTTCAGAATGAAACAGTAGCTCCAAGATGGACAAAAGAAATGCAGATTGCAATATGCTTAACAAATAGAGAAAGTTACCATTCTCCTGTATTTTGCTTTGGGAGTTATTAGTACCTGGATATTCTCCATGGTTGAAAGTGCATTAATGATCTAAAAGACACACAGTAATTTATCCTGCAGATGACCTACATGCAGCAGCCATGTGTGTTTGTTTATGATCACTTCATCTGGCAAAGAGCATTTGACACAATGCAAAGCTGAGGTAGAAAAATGCCCTGTTCCTCAAGCCGACTAATTAAAGCTCTACTTAATTTGGAAAAGGGCACTTTGAAAATAAACAATAATTTTCAGCAGACTGTAAAAAAAATAGGCAACGAATGAATCTCATAAGGTAAGGCCTGAAAGCTATTACAAGCACCAAAGAAGGTGATTTTAATTCCCACAATACCACTGTGAGTGCGCACACAAGTGTGCCTCTGACATTGCAAACAGTACATTCATGTTTACACTTTATTACTAAAAGAGAAGCCTAAGTATGCGTTTTGTACTTGCAGAAGTTTTCCATTTGTTCTGCTTCAAGAGCAACAGAACTCCAATATCTGCAGAGATGATCAAAGCTTACGTTATAATTTCTATGAATCACACAAACAGTAAGTGATGGCTGAGCTGAAATAG